GTAAATCAACCCTCTCCCCCTGATGACGAATTAATGATGTTTGATGAAGAGAAAATCTAGTGGCTCTCACACATTCAACCTCTAAGAGCCCAAGAGAAGAAGAAAGAAGAAGAATGCGGTGACCAGAAAAGAATTTTTAAGCCTGCAAGCAAAGGTCGATCAGATTCTCACTGCGGTCAAGCCAACCCAACCGTAGCCAGAAGACATACCCGGACCGCAGTCCTTGATCGAAAGGATAGAAAGATTGGAAACTCGTGAGAGATTGGCTGCTGAGCGCATCTCCCTCAAGGTTGAAATGGGAATGCGGTCCCTGACACCAGTCGCCAAGCTGATCACAAGCAATCTGGCTGGCTGCGGAACGCCTCATCTCTGAGGTGACCGCAATCAAAAAGGACTTACAAGCAGCCATTGCGGACCAGTCTACTCAATCCTAAAAGCTGATAGCTGAGACTCACATTGCATATGAGTCCACTATCTCAGTCCTTCAAGCTACAATCAACAGACTGCAACGATCTTTATCATCCAACTTCCATGGTCCTGAAATTCTTCAACTCACTAAGGAAATTCACAGACTACTCTTCAACACCACCATCCCCAACAATCAACAACTAACGGATGCTCTTAAAGCCTAGTTCCAGGAAGTTTATGCCAAGGTCGATGGTCTCAGACAGTGGCTTGAGGATGCTCCGGCGTTGCATTCCTCAAGAGGGGGAAGTGAGAAAGAAGACCATCACTCCAATCATTCCAACAGCATCTCACACCATCAAAGTCCCCCATCATTACTGAAAGAGTTCCTTAACCAACATTCACCGCAACCATCTCAAAGACTCACCACAAAAGGAGATCACTCTGAGCGACCAGAGACTCCCCCTCACTTTAAGAATCTGGTGGATCACATGTCCTCTCCAAGCTCAAATGACTCCCCTGTCACCAAACAGAAGAAAGCTGACTGGAAAGCAGCTAAATTTGCTGAGCTCATATGGAGAGAATGCGGTTTCGACACTGTTATGGATGAATCCTTGATAAACTCTTGGATCAATCCCCACCGCAGACTGCTGGATGATGACTACAAACCATAGCTTACCTATGCTGAACCCCCCTCTGATGGCTACTGGGATGTTCCAATCTCCCCAAATGCTAAATACTTCACAGTATTTGAGCAGTTTGACCGTAGCCTTCCAGACCACAAAAGACTGTCAATGGAATTCGAGAGACTTAACTGATTCTATGCAAAGCATGCCTCTTCCATTGAGAACATCTGGTCTAACGATAGACCATCAGCAGTCAATAACTTTAAGCCCCGGAAATTCATGAAAGCTGACTTCATTCAATACACACTCACAAGAAGGAATCAGGACTATGTCCGCACCCAAGCTGACTTCCCCTGTATGAACCCAGAAGAAGTTTTTCTTATAGCAAAGGTGTTCCAAAACAAGTGTGAAAAGCATCCGAAGATGAAGATAGCACTTGAAAGGGCAAGCACATTTCTGAGGGAAACTGTCTGTGACTTTTCTAAAATCGACGCAGACATCTACCCCATAATTGCCAAAAAGTTCGATCTACCACCACTTGATCCTGCACCAATGCCTACCGAAGGTTATCAAGAAAGATCCTTAGGTGCAACTAACTTCCCTGAACTCGAAGTCATTTTCAAAAGGAAGGCCGATAAAATCAAATACTTCATTCCTATGACTGCCATGAATCGCCTCACAAGGAAGCAACTTGAAATCTGTCGAACCGCAGTTGAAAGATCAAAGCACACAACTGCCGAAGTCAAGTTCGAGATTTTGAGAAGGATCACCTGGTTAGAAAACATCAGGAAATTTTGGTGGATACTGATCAAGTTTCTAAAACTTGACAACTGAAGAGAAGTTAAAGAGGTCACTTAGGGGGAAATTGTTGAATCATGAAAAATGACTCTCTTGAACTTCAGCTACCGCAGTCCACAAGGATCCGCAGTCAAGCTCTCTTCAGCATCCTCACCCGAAGTCATCATCTACCGCAGTCAATCTTAGTTACTAGATTAATTTACTTTGTCTATTTTTATTGTAATACTCTCTATTGTCCAGTATGCCTTGCATGGCTACTCTTAGAGACGTAATCTAGTGTAACTCTTGAGACTCTATAAATAGAGCTCATTCTCACTTATTCAATACATCTCTGAAGCTATCTTTTCTATCTCTCTATCTGATTACGCATCTCTCCTTACTCTCAAACTTTACTAGAATATAACTGATTACAATCTCTCTTCGGAGCAAGTCTCTTGTGACTTAATCACTAAGTTTGATCTCACTTATTAACTTGGTTTGAATGTATTCCTCGTTATGAATCAACTTATGTGTATACTTGATATAACAATGTTGTCATTTCCATTCTTTACTTTTTCCGCACTAACTCTAACTATCTAACTCTAACTTATTAATATTATTGTTGAGCTTTTAGATCCTTCGAGATTAACTATTCCGCAACTATACTTGTTCTAACATTTGTTCAAGTGTGTCTCAAAGTTTTTCTCTCAACAAGAGCGGTTTTAGAGCTTACCAAGTCTGCTATTGGAATAAAGACAATATTTTGACCACGAAGCCATGAGAATGCTCTTGATCCGAGAATCCGAAAAGCCTAGATGAAATCATTGAGTGTAATTGGAGAAGGGAAGAGTTTTTTTGTTTGGAAGAATCACTTACTCTTGGACTTGCATAAACTCGTTAGTCACATATTCTTCTGACCTGTTCTGGAAAAGCATAAGGAAATCAGCCAACTTATCAGTTATCATCACCAAAATACTTCTGAACGTGAAGTGGAAGAAAACCCCAAAATTCAGAAAACAACTAGAGAAAGAAAAAGGAAGACTCACCAGAAGATTGTGGAATCGACATGCTCAGGAAGAATATTAATGTAATTTCTCAAAGAAAAAGGCAGACTCTCAATGGATTTAATCCATCACACACCCTATTGATTTTAGAAGTTGAAATTGTATATGTATTTTAGAAGTTGAAACTGTATCTCCATGGCTTTAATCCTCCAAAACGACTTCATTTCGACCTGATAAACACTACACGAGAAGATGCTCTGCTGTAATGGTTGATTTTAACCTAGATACAGTAAGAAATTAGAACACGTCAAAGGAGTAGGGGGTCGATTTTTTTCATTGCCAAAAACCTAAGTGTTATGAGAGAGATTATGAGAGGTGAAAGATTTGTCTGGTTTTTAGGGTAATGAATAAGGCTGTGGTTTGTTGGTGGCGGTGGGGGAGAAGAAGATAGCTCCGACGAAGGTCAGTGGCTGTGTCTAGGGTTAGAAAGAGAGAGAGAGAGAGAGAGAGAGAGAGAGAGAGAGAGAGAGAGAGAGAGAGATAAGAGGGAGAGAATGGCTCTGTGCGATTTTACGAGAGATAAGGCGATCCAAAGGAGAGAGAGCAGAAGCGGGGTATTCAAAATTTTAGAATTTTAAAGGATCCCTCTTTAAAAACGCACATTTAGTTAAAAAAAAATATAAAGCGACATTTGTAGATGACACACACTTAAAATAAGCGTCTTCTGTGTTTTTAATTTTGTTTTGTTTGACACTAATTTTCGGGCACGCACAAATGCGTGTCCTCTATCCTTCAAATTTTGGAAAACTGACATTAATTTTTAGGGCACGCACAAATGCGCGTCCTCTATCAGTGTGTGTCATTATTTGCGTATCGTAAAAGGCTGTTTTTCTAGTAGTGAATCCTACTTTCTATTATTTGTATTAAAAAAATATACTTTAGTTTTATTTTTTTATTTTTTACCATGTGCTATACTTTGAAAAAAAAACAAACGTTATCGATGCCTTTCACGCGTACCAATTCACCATTAGAAATTGTTACTGAGGATCGTTTTTTTAACGGCTAAAGGATTCATATAAAACTAGCAAATTGCTAGGAAAGAAACAATTACACATTGTTAATTGGGTTTTTAACCAATTAACCTAACTAATAGAAATTCTCTTGTTTCAACTTCCAAACCATAAAAAAGATAAGTCTTTAACCGTGTCTAAAATGGTATCTTTTCTCTGTTTAATCTCTCGGAAAAACCTATGAATTTCTAAGCCTCCAAAGTACCTACAACATAGTAGAGACAATAGCTTCAATGGCCACAATTTTAGAAGAAGACATATGGCTCGAGTCAAGCCAACTGAAAAGATCACCAACTTCTTCAAAACCAGAACCTCCATCTACATAAATATCGAATTCTATGTTCTAACTGCAACTTCACAGTTGATCAACCAATGGTCTAAATCTTCCACTTCATCATTATAATTCGGACATAGAGTCGAAGGGACATCAATCTCACAATGGACTACGATTCGACCTAGTTTGATAGTTTATTCCAAAGAACTCTCCACACAAAAACATTAACTTTCTTAGGGACAAATTTATTCCATTTTGTCTGGTGATCCCTATCCGGGAGTAAAAAACCATCTATAATATTACGTGTGATATGAACCGTGAAACCATCATCATTCTCCAACTCCCAACCCCATCTATTATTTTGATCAAAAAATTGCACATTATCAACTAAATCAACCAAGGTCGTGAGTTGGTTGGACTCAACCCTTAGAATCTATTTATTCACAGCTCCATATACGTCGTTTAGGCCTATTAAAAAAACCGTATATTTTTTTTTGGTAACATTATAGGTACATCTATTTTTATTTATCAGGTAATCTAGGCTATTTCTTTCCACACCACAAAATGCAAAGAATATTGCACATGTTATCTACTTTTCTTACTCTCCTTTTTTGGTCTTACCTTCTCCCCATATTCAATAACCTAAAACAAAAGATTTTAAATAAGTCATCTGGATAATAAAAATGTCAAATAAGGAAAGTCAAAATTCACAATATTCTCAAATGTAAAGTAAGACAAAGTCCTGATTTTTTTATTTATAAAATGTAATAACTTAATTAAAGTATAATTTTTTATACTTTTTACGAAAACAAATTTAACTTGAAAATTTTCCAAAACATATATTTACTCCAATAACTACAAACATTGTGATACAAATATTAAACTCGTGTACAATTAGGAGGTTTTAAACATTTATACAAAGCAGATGCAGGTTGCTTGTAAGTAGGAATGCTACTCGGGTCGAAAAACCGAACTTCCCCAGGCTCAAACGAAAGCTCGCTATGCCTGTAAAAATCACCAACCATGCTTCTTATCAAAAAAATATAACTACGATTGTACGAATGTTTTGATATTTTTATCAAGAATATCTTTAACCCAACTTTTTTATCTAAAAAAAAGATGTTAGACCAACCCTTAATAATGTTTGCAAATGGGTAAAGGAATTCCCACCTTCGAAGATCGAGTCCGACAAGACCCGCTTGTAGGATCGTCAAATTATCAGAGTCGGGGGAGACAATGATAACAGTGTCCTCAGAATACTGAGTTTCAAGAATCGACATTAGTTGTGTCACCCGAACAAACACATCCGCAACACTCTCGTTAGGTGTTCCATCGTTGATTGGGGGTGGCTTAATGTTCGTGGATACACTATCTGATGCATATATCTAATACATACAACACATAGACAGACATAACTTTTAATCTGACATTACATGCAGTAATTAGATAAAACTACTAGAGATAAATCTTACTTCGGAAACGGATTGTAACGCCTTTCCTTCATACGCTCCTAATCCACGGGCATCCAAGAAACTGTACTCCGGAACTATATTACTATATTCAAAAAGATTTTTTTTTTTTTTTTCAAAGAAACAAATAGTGAATCCATGGTCAATGGAATGGAAATGAGTCAAGATTTTTTTACCTACCTTCTATTGATCCCATTAATGGCAGCAATGATCTCAGCAGCCTGGTAAGCTCTCTGAGTAATAGAAGGCCAAATCCAGCACCCATTATCACAAGCCCCAATTTCCTTCAATCTCAAAGCTGCTTTCACTGCCTGTTTCTTCCCGATCTTCGATAAACCATTATCTACAGATGTTTTCCCAACAGGGTTTGTGTTAATTATACCCAAACTCTCAAATTCAGACTCCCCTGCCCTCACTAGGAAGTACCTGAGAAATCAAGGAAGTTGAGTTAAGAAATTATGCAAAAATTGACATAAAAATGTTAGCATAATTACCGATTGGAGAGACGAACAGGGGGCATTTGGAAGAGGCCGCGAGCATCGGCGGAGGGAAATAAAAACACGGGAGGAAGAGGAGATTCTTCGTGGTTGAGGTGAGGGTTAGGAGCCAAGAATGGGGTGATAGAAGCGGCGAGTGAAGCGAGAATGCGACGGCGATCGATGGATTTAAGGTGAACTTTTGGGGTTTCGGGGTGGCTTGTGGCGGCGGAAACGGTGGTCGGATAAGGTGGCGGGGTTTTATTTGAGGCAAATGTTGTTACCAACATTTTCACCGGCGAAACTGAACCACTGGCGACGGTGGATTGAATCATCGGTTTGGTCTGGTATGAAGCAGAAAAATATCAACCGTTTTTCAGAATGATACATTTTAGCCCCTCCTTCTTTACCTATTACAAAGATGATCCCTCAGCAAAACTTTTGTTTCTTCCTCTTAGATCGGAAGAAGTGGGAGGGAAGCTTCCCTCACTTGTGGGTCATACCCTCATTTCTCTCATTTTTCTTTCACTCACCTAAAACCCAAGGAATGGGTGGAAAGCCATTCCCTCACTTTTTTTTTATTAAATAAAATTAATTTTTTTGTTATGAATTATAATTTTTAAATTAATACTAAACATAAAATTTAATTAAAAATAAAAAGCATTTCATTAATTAAAATAAAACTTACATTAAACCTAAAATTTAAAAAAGTAGAAAATTAAAAAAAAACACACACACACAAACTAAAAATCAAACAAACCAACAACGACCTATGAAAAATATTTTTTCAGAATTTTTTCCCTCTTCTTCATCACGAGCTCGAGAGCCGGTCCCGAGAGATGATCGACGTTTTCCATCAAAAACTTCATGTCCTCCATTTCTTGTCTCTCCGCCCGCTCCTTTTTCCTTGTTTCTTCTTTTTCTTTGTCGAAAGCCAACCGTTCGGAGAAATTTAGATTATATCGATCAAACGACGATGTTATCTTCCGCATTTCGTCAATGTCCACGCTGAAATCAGATGCACTCGAAGAAGTCCCTTTTCCCTTTCTCTTCGCTTTGTCCCTACCCATTGGGCGGACAATTTCTTCTAGCTCAAGTTCGTCGTCCTGATTTAAATCAAGACCGACCCGAGCATCGGAGGAGGTTGTGTAACCACTAGAGCCCGTTTTCGTTCGCTTTGATTGTTGGACTCCAAAAATAAAATTTTGCTCGTATTTTTTCCACCTAGGACTTCGGACCAATAATTTCCAACAATCGTGTCACTTGAATGGTTTTCCGACTTCCTCAAGGTAAAACTACAACGCTTCTTGAAGTATTTCTTCGTCGTCTTGACCGCTTTTTCGTTGGGTTTTTAGGTTGTTGTACAACCCGTTTATTTTTGAAACCCCCTTTGCTATTTCTCGAAACTTCGAATTAAGTTGATGTTTCGTACGGTAGTCGTCACATTTTCCTAGCTCCTTTCGAAATCGTTCTAAAATGCGAAACCAAAAATGTTCTCCCGGTTGTGCGTTTTCCTGAATCGAATCTTCAGAAATATCAACCTAAGCTTTGACCAAAACTAGCTCTTCGTGTGGAACCCATGTTGTCGGCTTTTGTCTTCCCGGTTGTGCGACACCCTCGCGCGCTTGTTTTTTCCCTTTACGTCTTTGTGGTGGTGGTGTTGGTTGAGTTTCGAGAACCATGTCTTCTTCTTCTGCGTCATCCGATTCATCGACAAGTTGGTGTTGTTGTTGGGTTTGGGTTTGAGTTTCAGTTTGAGTTTGGGGTTGAGGGTGATTTGGCGATTGTTGATCCGGAAACACAACAAAGTTTGAAAACATTTGCGACGAAACATTTGGAACTTGCATCGGGTAATATTGGACAACATTTTGGTATTGAAATTGTAGTGGGGATTGAATGGGAGCATCGAGTTGGGGGCGGTAAACTCCTTGCGGGGATGAATCGATAGCAAAAATGTTTCGAGGAGGGATGTTTATACTTGAACCATGACTTTTTTTCCTTCGATCGGAAGTTGGGATTTGATTGTCGGGATTCATTTTTTTTTGTTGATATAAAGTAGAGAGAATAGAGGGTAGTGTGATGTTTGATGTTATATGTATGTATTTATAGGAGTGGAAAAAGGATAAAAAAAAAACAAAAAAAAAACATAATTAGCCGTTACAGCCAAAAAAAAAAATTACATTTTTACCGTTGATTAACGGTTCTTTTTCAAAAAAAAAAAAAAAATTCTCAGCCAATCGCAACAAGAGAGAGAGAGCGGGAGAGGCTCCCCTCTCCGTTTCCCGCACAACGCTTCCCCGCGCCGACGGTGCGGTGTTTAGCCGGGCGGGAAGCTTCCCGCTGCCGTTCCCCGCGCCCGTTCCGTCCGGCCTTATGAACTGAGACTAAAGTTGACTGATTTACCTGGATATTTGGTTGGTTTATATAGTATTTTACATCTAATAAATAGTTGAAGATAAACTTTAAAATAATCGATTATAAAATAGATCAATCAAAAGTAAATATAATATTGTATCAGTATTATGAATGAAGTTCATATATTTTTTTTTTTCATCCTGAATTCCGAATAGAAGTTGTTAGTGGGCCGGACGGCCCAACGGTGAAAAATGATAAGTCAAAATCGGTTTTGTGTAATTGTGAGGTACGGGAAGAGGTGCACAAATCCTTTTTTTAATCGGCCTGGTTCAACAAAAGTAAAAATCGGTTTGAGTCAAAATGGGTTTTCAAGCAAATATAAACAAACCTATAGAAATTGGTTAGGATCGGTTCGAAACCTGTCTGAGTGAAACCAACTCTGGAAAAAAAAAAACATATTTTTTTTTTCGTATTCTCACAAAAAAATTAAAATTGGTGTCGGAATCTAACTTTAACGGTTGATTAGAGTTGCTACAATAAGTAAAACTCCAGGCATTTGGGATTGTTTAAGGGGTTCAAAACACCCTTTTTCAACTTTTAATTTTAGAAAAGTCTTTTGCGGACGTCTGGGACAGGGTGAAAACCGGTCTTGAAAAGTTTCAAATCAGTTTCAAATATCAAATTGTACTATATGAAATCAATTTTTTTTATAGTTTTGAAAACCGGTTTCACTCAAATCGGTTTTCAATTGTAAAATTCTCAAACCATTACAAACCTGCCGGACCGGTTTCAGCCAAAGCGTATTCCAAACCATATTGGTTTCGGTTTGAAAGCCAATTTCGGATCATATAAATCGGTTTTTTTTGTACAACTCTAGATACTCGTAATATTATGTGAACTTGATCGAATTTTGGATTTGTATTTTTACTTTTTAGTAAGGATGACAAAAAGTGATCCAATGTAAGATACAGTGGGATTGGTTGATATTATAAGGTGAGTAAGCTTGTTTAACTAATAAGTTGAGTTAGAGTTAAAATTTTGTATTTCATTTTTTTTTAACCGGCAAAATACAAATATATATTAATTTAGGTTAAAATGTTATGATTTCGACTCGCTAACCTATCCAACTGTAATATTTATTATTTTATTATATTTATATTTCCCAAATCCTATTTTTATCAACATATAACTATAATTTTAAGGTTGAGTTGTTTATAGTTTAGACATTTCAGATAACATCTTGGCCAATTGATTTATATTTAAGATTGGATTTCTTTGAAAACTTTGACAAATTGATTTGTATTTGTAGGGTAGTTTGGCAGTTCATTGATTTTCAAACCCACGTGCGAAAAATAAAAATGAGTCCTAAATATAGTTTTGTTATACAAACAAAAATTATTGATAAGTAAATAATTGTTATAAAATTAATCAAAACAAAGATTATCATTGATCTGTCTAATCTGTCAGTAATCCGTCACTAATATTAATGTGCGTAAAAAAATTAGACCCCCTAAACGACACGGGCCATGTGCGGTGACACACTCTTCTGCACATGCCGAGGCCCTTTGTATTTGTGGTGTAATAATGAATCACCAAAAGGATGAGTAGTCTGCAAGTTTATAGTTTGTTTGCGTGTTTATTTGATTTTTTTTTTTAATCTGATAATTTTCCCATAGAAGTAATGTTCTTTCAACCCCACCATATGTTCCATTTCTATTCTTTAATGAAAGTCTTTATCGTATACAAATTGGCATCGAGCAAATAGAACAATAAGCTTATATTAAATTTGCATTCCCAAAATAATGTTCTTTGATTTCCTTTTTTCCAAGGTGTCTTTGATATCGTCCGTACTACAAACAGTTGTGAAGAAGATCTATGTTAAAGGTTCTACTTGGTGATGCCTGCTCCCAAATGTATTTGATTCTTGATTTTTGAGATAAAGCTATTACATATCTTCACCTTTTATGAGATAAAGTAATTCAAAGATTAAAGTGTTGCTTTAAGCATTGCCTCTTTTTCTCACGAAGATATACTTTCATTTATTATTTATTCACACAGCATAGTCATGATTTAATTGAGAACGACATTACATTGAATACAAGGCTAGGTGACAACATGGTTTTTGATTTGTATGCGAGTTTCGTTGTTTATATTGGATTCAAGTGTTTTTTTTCTTTCTTGTGACCCAATGTTTTTAAAATACTTTTCACAAGCTTGTGTATGCAATATCCCATATTGGTGCAATATAGTTTTTTATGTCTCTATATTACTATATATGTTGGATATATATCTTCCTCTCTCTATAGATATATCTTACAATTCCTACTTCTACTCATTCATTACAATTTCAAAGCTTTTATGAAATTATATATAGATCCAATATAACAAAAATGAAGTTACTTATTTTACAAGCAATATTCAAAGCACACATGCAAAGATAAATATTTTAGAATGTTATTATATGTTTCACTCACTCACATAACATTAAATCATGAGGATACATTATTTCCCACTCACACAGGATACACAAAACAATTTAGAGATAGGTATAGATATGAAGATATCTATAGTCATATTTACATACAAAGCTAAGTGTATAGATTCGCAGTAAAGTACTATATAACAGTCACACATTAAAACATCACATCAGTACCATTAATAACTATGAAGATAAATAGCAAGTGAAGTTAACTTGGAATTAAAATGGTAAACTTTGTCTAAACCTTTTTATTACTATTTATTATTTACCGAATTAAATACTAAATAGAGTTAGGCAAGAAGTATAGTATATAGTGACAGTGGTGTGTTTGTGGAACTGCAAAATTTCATTAAGATTCCTGTCATATTTTGTCTCATTGTTTTTGGTCTTCGAAAGTGGTGCCTGTTGCAGGAGGAATCTATTCCACTATTGGTCCCTCCTCCATATTATATTAAACTACTCTTCATTCATTGCTTTCTGCGCATCACTTAGATACTGGTTTATAATTAATTAAACATTATCTAGCTATAAGTATTC